AAAAACCATGCCACTCCTAGCTGGTATTTACACCAAGAAGCACATAGATGAAAATAAAAGTAAAGGGGGTCACTCTGAAGGGACCTTGTAAGTCACCACACACCATTCAGAGAATTTGACTCTGTTGGCTGGGTGTCAGTTGGGCACTCCTCCAAATCTTCAGCCCGGGGGGTTTGGGGGCGAGATAGGAGATTCACTATGATCCGAGTTCAAGACCCAGCTTGGCCATAAGTGAAGACCCCCTGTTTTTATTACATAATCGCAAACAAAAATAGAATTCTGCGACTTTTCCTAAGGCCTGTGGGAAGTTACTGAAGAGACTCCCGGAGGTTACCAGAGTACATTAATTTTACAAAGATGTTTGCAACCTAACCATTGGAGAAAGACTGGACTACGAGCTCGAGGGAATTATGATTTGATCATCCATGCGAAGTGAAAGTGTTCATTAGGAGGGTGGGCATCACATTACAAAAAGAGGGGAGATGAATTAGAAAGGTATCTGCAGTCATTTGAGCACTCATTTACCAAGAAAGTTTCTTTCATTGTTAAAAGGCCTCGACCATTTAGATGTGTTTATGTTTCAGGATGGATTGTATAAAAAGTCATTCTTTTTAATATTGGAACAGTTTCGTGCTAAGAAATCCACTTACATCGCATAACACTCAGTTTAACTGGTTTGCTTCCATCCCTCCCTGCGCGCGGTAGAAGAGCACTCACATCCACATCGTTTGGACCACTCACCCAACGAGGAGCCCACAGCTTCCTCTCATTCTCAGATGTTACACACATTAAGAGCAACAACAACAAATTAGCAATGCAAATACCGAGCAGAAAAAAAAAAAAGAGACCCCTGGGAAACTTGAAAAATGTTATAGAAGATGGGCAGTTTTACCAAGTATCAATGGAAATTATTCTGGAGAATTCCCGGAATATGCCCATACACCCCAAAACAGGATCTGGATGATCATACTACAATACAGTGAAAGCACGACCACTACACTTTATTGTAGACAACAAACTATACCACCCATTGAGACAAACACGACGAGGCTCTAGGAAACTAGAGACTTTACACAGGCATAGATAACATACAACAACAAAAACACCACCCATATCCTCAGAACAAACTACAACAAAAAACAAACACATTTTTTTTATAGAACTACACTCAAGACACACGACAACACATAGATGAGCTAGGGACGATCACATATAACACAATCGCAACACAATGCTAACACAAAACAACCTACACACAAAACACAAACCAAAAAACAAATTCTACAGAAAAACAATCTCCCTGACAACAACACACACCACAACAATACTAGGTATAACAACAAAGTTCATCACCACCCACATCCACCACACACCACACAAACATACAAATACACAACACACACATTTAACACACATATAGTAGAGATTGTGGGGCTTCACCTTGATGTTTGGTCCAGCGCTGTGTCTACACATTTACTACCTGGGCTCTCAGGTGATCTGTCCCAACCTCTAGCTCTCCAAATGTGCTGGATTACAGGTGATAGATGCCCCTATGCCTAAACAGCCTCAGATCCACTACATATAGGAAATAACAATGTCATATAGTTCAGTCAAACACTGGATCTAGTATTATTTTTTAAATACATGAAAGCTTTATTATACCTAAGTTACTTGAACAGTCATTAAGTGAATGGCTTTAAAAAATGTTTATTTTCTTCTTCAAAGCTCAGATATTATGAATTTCAGTTTTTTTCATTATTTTCTATCAATAACACTTGTAATAGTCGTGAGTATCCTTCTAATGAAATAAATCTTTGATAAAGACACAACCTTGGAATAATAGCTGCAAGT